TATATATATATATTATTCTTTCACTTTGTGTATAAGTATGTGTATTTGTATGAAGAAAGTTTTTAATTTCACTCGCAACAGGACCGGATATGATTAGATAAACTTTTTTAAAAGTAATTATTAAAAGAAAAGAATAAATTAAATAATTTTTTAATAGTTTATACACTAAAATTAACTTATACATGAAATTAACACGATAGAACTTTCATGAATTATCGTTATTTGACTTTTTTTCTATACAAATATACCGATTCATATTTGGTAAAATGGCGGTTTTAAAGGGCATTGTGATAATGTTAATAACAATGCTATATTGCAGCTGATGCAAATGTGATCCCGCAGCAGGGACCCACTTTACTGAAACAATAGTGGTATTCCTTGTCAACAGAATTCTGATTTTTTTTTTATAAAAAAAAGAGAGAAATAATTTGGTTTCTTTCTTTTATGGTGTATAATTAATATTCATGAAGCAAATTTTGATTCCATTTAAAGAATTTATCATGGTTTTAAATTTGGCATGATTAGTAAAATTTCTGGGGTCTTAGTCTCAGATTATTGATTTTCAAAGAAACATATATTGTATGTTTGTGTGATGTTGCACCTGGATGGATCAAATCATTAGTTGTTGACATGAGATTGAGAATTAAAAATACAGGAAGCAAAGAATAATAGGCCTTAAAATACTGTTAATCTTTCCGGTTATTTTACAATTGTAAGCAAGTCATGCAAGTAAGGTGCTGTTCTTTCCCATTTCAAATTACCCTGTTTTGGCTTTCGCTCTGCAAAGTTTTGAAAGTATGAGAGAGCCTTGAGAGCTTTCCAAAGGATTCTTAGACCCTTACAGAACTGGTAAGGATACAGGAACAGTAGTTCGCCACCAGTAGCTTTTTCTGCTCCCTTGTTACTAATCCTATAATCTTCTATATTGGATGTTAGTAGATTATGAGCCTTTGTAAGTGCAAGTTGGTAGCACTTTTGAGAGCTTCTCTACTGGGAATAAAAAGTATTTTTCAGTAGAGAAACTTTTAAAAGTGCTTCTAGGCTTATATCCAAATAAGATCTATGGCCTCTTAGTTGTCATTCGAAGCAACCGACAAACTTTGTCAAATTTGCACGCACTATTATGAGGAGTTTGTTTAGCTATTTTTTGTAATTTTTATCAGTGGAAATTCTTTATCTTCCACCTCAGCTGTATGTTTTATTTTTATTTTTTTTGAAATCCTGTTAACCTCAAGAATAAGCACACTGAAATGTGTATTTATTACCTGAAATCATCTTATTTTTAGGCCTAAGTTACAGCAAAAAGGCATATACTTCACTGGGTTTTCCTCCTTACAACTTACAAGGAGTCTCTTCCTTCTACACTCAACAAACAGTATAACAAAAATTATAGTACGGCAAGCACAATACACAGGCATAAGCCCTGAGAGTCTTTCTCTCTCAAACTCACTTGATACAAACTACCAACCCAATACAGAAACTGCCAGGCCATATGCATATAAAATATGATACAGTAGATGTCACGCAAATGCTTAACTGTCTAAAGACCTAACTTTCCTATCAAATCCACTCATGGGAGGGCATATGATCTGGACTATTTCCTCCACACTATATTTATTTTGTATACTTACAAATCCTTCTTTCAGAATGAAGCGAACACTTTCAAGATACAACAAATCCCTTGGTTCTGCAGACGCTGCCGTAGCAGAAAGTAAGACACAGGTACTCTCTTGTACACCGCTGTCCTATTAACCTTCATTAAGGTTTCACTATCTTTCAAATAAGCTGTTAATTTTTCTATATATTTTTATCAAGTTTATTAGATTGATTCAAGTCCAATCAGAATTCTTCATCGAAAACCACTAAAAAGGACTTGAATCTGAATGGCCCCTTTGAAAGATTGGTTTTTGACAGAACACAATTGGGTTGTTCGTTTAATGCTACGTAGTGATAAAAGACTTTGATTATTATTGTTGAATAGTGCAGTCTCTGTTTTCAGTGTTGTTTATCACAAATTGATAATATATTAGAGCACAAGCATTTAATTGTCAACGGTAAAAAAAGTCATTTATTTGCAGAAATAAACTTCTCCATTTTTTGTTTTCCTGCTGATAGATCCCTGGTAATTAGATATAGGGGAAGGCTAGAAAAGGGAGTGGTTTGGGCCTAGGGTACAATCTGGGCAAGATGGGAAATAAATGGATGAGAAGGACAATGTGGTTAAGGGATGAGTGGGGATAAATGTGAGAGAGCAGAAAGTGAAGTCAGGAAATTATTTAGTTTTTGGGGTGGTTGTTGCAACTGGGAAGAGATGTTTTCCTTCTCTGATTGTTTTCTTTCATTCTAAGGTTTTATACCTTGCATTTTACCCCTGCAGTCAGACTACTACTCTGAGTATTTTCTACATTATTCTACAGTACATTTGGTTCCTATCACCTGCTAATTCATATGCAGTAGTTATAATTCTTTTATTGATTTAAGTAACACATGATTCCTTTATTTAATATTCAGACAGAATTTCAATCCGTCAAAAGTTTTAGAACTTCATTGTTAATCAAACATTTTATATCCATATAAAATGCACTATAGTTCTTGAGAAAGGAACTTTTTATATTTTTTTTCCTGCCAATTAAATATTCAGGTATAATTTCAAATTAATCTATTCTGATTTAAATAATACATAACTTGTTCTTCAATTAGTGGAACTTAAATCTAATGTAAAATATTAATATATAGAATTAATTTGGAGTTTTATTAGCAAGTCCCAAATATGTGATCAGTCTAATAAGGATTGCATTTGATGTCTCTTTGATGAGTAAACTTTGTGTTGCCAAGTTGTGGCAGCCATAATTGGTACTTCACCCCTTTAGATCCAAAGATTCTGTGAAGCCGAGAACTGAAAAGAAATGGCAGTTTTCAGTTTTAGAAATCCAATGATTTTTTTTTTTTTTTTCCTGAATGATCAATATAGCAATATGTGATAAGAAATGTTAGATAATTTCTTAACATTCTTGAGTTGTTTTGTTATGTATCAGATTGATCAGTGACAAGTACTTTCTAGAAGTAATTATTTATGCTGCATTATATCCCTCAATAGGCACTCAGTATGTTATTATTATAAAGTTTTGTTGTATATTCTAAAAGCTGTTTACAAAAAGTAAATGGATGATCTAGCTTAGGTAGTTTTTGTCCACCCTACCCCAACTGAAACTCTATAATTAGTGATCAGATTTAAAGTAAGAACCATTAACTTCTGTACTATATGATATAAACAATACACTCCTCCATTTTATCCACCCCACTTGCCCTTGAGCTTGAATATTACCTTTCTATCACAGAAAGGATAACACTCACTCCTCCATTTTATCCACCTTGCTTGAATCCTATGTCTTGCACGTCCCCCTGTTTCTCCATTGTCTTGTGTGATGTACTCTAGATACTTGAGCCATGTGATTCATGGTATGACATTGTCTCCAATTTTCACCTTTTAAGATGTAAAATAAGTACAACTTTTTGTTTTATGTCTTGACTTTCAGTTTCCATCGTGCAACTTTTTGGTTTTCTTAGCTGCAAATATTATATTGTTTGCCTGCATTGTATTTAAAATTTCTTTCACTGGGTATATGTTATCATTTCTCCTTGGATTCATTATGGGATTATTGTGTTTACTAACACTATTTTCTTTAGAAGGAAGATTCTAAGATGGTGGAGATTCTAAGAGAGGAAATTACAAAGCTAGAAACAAAGCAATTGTATGTGTTCTATCACTCTGTTAGAAATTTTCTTTAGTGTTATTGTTTGCATTCTCCTATCTTTTCTTTTGATAGAAATATCACTTACCTTTGTGACTACAGACAGTTGTTGGGAAAGGATCTGACAGGATTGGGTGTAAAGGAATTGCAAAATTTAGAGCAGCAACTTAACGAAGGGTTATTGTCTGTCAAGGCAAGAAAGGTCACATTTTATCCCTTTTCCCCTTTTCTATGTTATTATTATTATTATTTTTTTATTTTTTTTTACTTTTCGTTGAAGGTCATCAGTAGAACATAAGTAATAGTTTCTGTTCAGAGCAATGTACCGCTCCTATAACCCTCAAACATTTGATCTTTCAGGAGGAATTACTCATGGAGCAACTGGAGCAATCTAGAGTTCAGGTATATTAAAATCAGAAGTTAGGTTTATGAAATTATAATAATGGGCCTCACATATCTCGGAGAATTTGCTAGAAAGTCTAAAACCGTTAAGCATATATTTAAAATGGCTTATTTGTAGGTCTGATATAGTGATATCCACCCATAAAGCATGTAATCATATGATGCACTCTGTCAGCCTACATGGTAATGAATATTTGACTATTTTATAAATAAGAAATCAATCTCATTTCAATGGTTAATTGTTATGCTGAAAGGAAATCCACTAAATGTATTTTTATTGATATTTCTATAAGCAAAGATAACATGTAGTTCCTCTCAACATCAAAGATACAGTTTCTGAAATTGGTAAATCGATAACTTTAGAAATTAGAAGAAACATAGAATTCCATTTTTGATATTTATGAACTGCACCATATCATCGTGTTAGACCTTTCAAATTGATGAGCATGTGCAGTTGACCAACAAGGTCCTCATATCAAAGGCTGAAGAATTTGATTTTAGTGCGTAGAAATTTGTGGATAGAATTGAAATGTGTATCGATTGGAGGATTTAATATAACTTGGAAATATGCTAATTACTTTGAAAAGTGACGGAAAAGGAAAATTTTCCTTTTTGTCATAGTAACTTGTTTGGTTTATTCTTTCCAGGAACAGCGGGTTATGTTAGAGAATGAAACTTTGCGCAGACAGGCAAATATTATTCACTTGCTTCTTTTAATGTGCAACATTGATCTTCCAACATCTTTTATCTTTGAATGATGTATGTCACTAATGGCTTTGTTTTTCTTCCTATAGATTGAGGAGCTTCGTTGTCTGTTTCCACAATCAGAACATGTGGTCCCATCTTTTCTACAATACCAACGTACTGAAAGAAAGAATAGTTTAGTAAATACCGGTACTAGATGTCTCAACTTGGCCGATAACTGTGGAAATGAGAAAGGAAGTTCAGACTCAGCATTCCATTTGGGGTACTATGTTGTTCAATTACCACACTTTTAAAATAAATTGTGAAAGATCTTGCCTGTATTTTCTGTTTGATACAAAACAATACCTTTTGATTTTCATGGATAAATTACCTTCACTATGAGTTGGTTAAAAAAAAGTCTCGACTGAAACCATATTTGATTAATACATAGTGGTTTTCACTTTCGGCTTGTATTAACATAATTAGTGCTTTGCATGAATACTGCATGGATTAAATTGTTCCAGTAGTTGCATCTATATTCAACAAGTTTTCTTGCATTATCTCTTCCATTCTTAAACCTCTTTCTCTCAGTTTTTTACCTATTGCATTTTCTAACCTAGCTAATTAGTTAGCTACACCATAGATTTGAATGTACTAAACACGCAGAAAGTTTTGAGGGATCTTCTTCCTATTTTATGCTCATTCCCCGATTTTTCTGGTCTCACTCTGTAGGTTGTCTGCTGGTGTTCAAGAGGAAGGCCCCCAAGAAAGAAACCTTTTCAAGTGACTCATCCTCTAATGGCACAAGGTTCTCTGATCTTCTTATTTCAACGGGGAAAATAGAATTTCAGACTAATTTATTGCAGTTGTACTTATGTACAATATAGATTAGGGAGTAAAGGTATGACCAAAAGTGACCCTCAAAGTCATAAATTGGAATTTGGCTCTTTTAGAATATTGGCAAGATGCAGATTGACCATTTTTACCAAATTCTGGCTTAATTACCTGTGAAAGGTATAAACAAGACCATGTTTAGGTTTATTTTACTGCTCTAAATTAATCTTTCTTTATATTTTCTTGCTGTTAAATCATGTGCAATCACCAACTTGGTTGTAGTTTGCCAATTTAATCATTCGTGCCATGTGAACGAGAAGAAAATCATATTTGAAGTAAAATGTTTAATTATTCTTCAAAATACTGTATAATGGTCCTTTGCTGTGTCCTTGGTACATAATTAGATATTTTTTAGTTTTCTTTGAGAGACAAGCAAAAGGGAAGGAAAATGTGTCCTTTGTAGTTTGTACTGAGTAAACCAAAGCTAGTAAATAAATAAAAAAAAAACTGTGTTTCATTGCTTATTTTGATAAGATAATCGTTTATTAATAGAGATCTTTTGAGGGACAAGAAAAAGCCATTATTTTGTGGGGGATAACTTTTAATTCCTCTCATTTTCTTAATTTCCGAAACATTTTCTTCCGGTTTTTGTGGGGAACACAAAAGTGTAAGTCGCATAATTTATAATCATCCAATTGGTTGTCAACTGAAAATACAAATTCTACCTTAAGAACAAGACATTATCAGCATCTTAAAAAAATACATTTCGAACCATATAGTTTTGATTATTCGTATTACATATGCTCCTCAGTGTGCAAATAAACACTAGGTATTACTATTTACATGACTACAGAATTATACAATTTATAAACATTACATAAGCAATTAAAAACTTTTGATCTACACATAATATATGATCAAACAATTGACTTTGGTGGCTGTTTCTGTAGTCGAAAGCCGTCAATTAATTCAGATCTGTGTGTCATTATACTGGCAAACAGATTATCCACCTCCTTGCTTATATCATCTGATAGCTTCTCCAACACGTGCAGCTTTGTCTGCAAATCCTTGGCTGTATCATGATCAGAAGAAACAACAAGGACAGTAACAGCGTCATTTACCTCTTTGATCTCGCTGAAAATTGGCATTTTTCCCATCAACTGACCACTGATTTTGAAATCAAGTGTGGCAACAAGAGAACCATCAAACCCACCAACAATTTTTCTCAGCTCCATGTATGGCTTACCATCACCATAAAAGCAAGACAACAGAACCCCACATACCCAGAATCCAACACAACTCATTTCCTTCACAGCCTCATGAAAAATCCACTCTTTGCCAGAGAAAACCCTTGTTTCATCAAGATCCTTACCAAAGTTGGTACTGAAACTGAAACACCCTGATTGAAACTGAATTGCTTTCAGATGCTTTCTTGCCAAAGCTGAGTTCTCCATCGCCAGGGTCAAGCCATGAGCCAGGGAAAGCCTAGTTTGGCCAAGATGAGAAAGGCATGAGGAAATGGAATTGAGAAGCTCTAGCAAACTCAAGGTGTATCTGAGGTACCCTTCACTGGAACCAACCTCCCATTTACTCATGGGGTAATCAATATCCACAACAAGCTTTGAAAAAGCCTTGTTGATGAAGGGCAAGAGGCCTAAACACCTTTGCAACCATGTCAAAGACAGGGTTTGTGATCCTATTTTCAAATCCGATGCTAATTGAACAATTGATTTGGACACGTGGGATTTGAAATCAAGAAGTGAAGATTGCAACTCCCCTGGTTCTGGTTGAGGAGGGTGTGTGATGGGATGCTGGCGATTCTCCAGCTTGAAGTAATGTCTTGCAAGTTTCCCTATCAAAAGTACCATTGGTTATTGGGACCTAGAACACAAAAGGATGCTTCAAAGCTTTATAAAGGGGGTGTTGACAACTAAAATTCAAAGAAAGGTTTGAAAGATTGGTTGCGTGCATGTCTACGCTAAATATCTTTATATATATTATTGATCTTAAAGGCACTAGTGGAAAAGAAAAAAAAAAGTAGGGTATATATTTATATATATTTAAGCGTTTAGATTCTCTCGTGACATGTTTTTATTCCGTGGAATCTAATCTTTAATTAAAAATAAAACAAAATATTTAAAATAATAAAAATTAAAAATATGCAATTATGATGATGGAAAAATATTTAATATTTGAATTATTTGATTTCAATTTTTATCATTCTTAATATATTTTGTTTGAATAAATCAATATAAAATTCCTTAAATTTTAAGTTATTAAATTAGATATGATGATTTGATTCCACCATGATAAAATTGATTTTAAAAATATATTTATATGTTGAGATTTTTAAATTAAATTTTATAAAAATAAATATTAATTAATTTTTAAATATTTAGTTTTTAAAAATTAATATTAGATAATATTTAATAAATTTGAAAATATTTTTTGAATATTCAATAATTAAAATCATGAAGAGATAAGAGATAAGATAAAATATATAAATGAAATAATAAGAAAAAAATATGAAGAATTTCAAATTCTTACTTTTTTGGGAGAATTTGAAATTCTACTATTTCAAGAAATTTTACAAATGCTTGAATTTCAAATTCTTTATAAATTTCTTATCTAAACAAGATATTTCACTTTAAAGAATTTGAAATTCTTCAAATAAATGAATTGCTCCATTTAAATGCCCCATCCAAACACACTATAAGGGAATTTGACAAAATATGATGACATGGTATATGCTATTTTTATTTTTAATTATAAATAATATGAGACGAATTATCAAAATTAAGAAAAAATATTAATATAATTATTTTTAATTAAAAATAAAATTTAGTTACGAGATTTATACCTAAAACTATTAATTAATTTTATCATAAATTCAAATTTTGTTTCAAATATATTCTTTATTCTAAAATATTATTATATTTAATATTAGTTACCAATGAACACATAAAAATACAATTAATAATAAATGAAAGATATAAAAAAATTTAATCCAAATAATTTTAAAAATTAATGATTATTGTTCATAATTAAGATAAAAGAAAGTTAATTTGTTTCGTATAATTAAAATTAGAGATAATATTTAACAAGGAGATAAAAACACATAATTCTTTTAAAAAAAATATTAATTTTTAGTTATATGTGAATTATGTACATTTAAAAAAAAAAACATGGGGCACATTAATTTGTCGGCGGTCAAAGGTGCTTATCCTATCGTATCCGTGTTTTGTGTTTTCGTTGAAGTCTAAACTAGAAACTATGTGGTGTTGCATTTGCATTTGCACGCTCAATTGGGTCCACTTGGACATACAAACCTTGAAGCACAATCTAGCTAGCAATAAACAATATGGACGCGTAATGACGTCGTAAATATTTCATCTTTTCAGCAAAATGAAGTGCAAGCGCGTAATTACAAGATAAAGTGCTCAAGGATGAGTTTTGACTTTGACACCCCAACTCCATTGCTCACTCGGTTAAGGTTTCATTAACGCTTGGGTCAGAATTAAGTTAACTAGGTATTTAAATAAAATGTATAAATTTAGATATATTACAATACTTCAGTTTTGAAATTTTGAAAGAAAAAAAAAACTAATTTGTAGATGTGTAATTATATGGGTTGTTTTAAAATTATCCGCATCTACTGAAATAACTCACCGGTAATAAATTAGTTTTACGAAATTCATCTATATAATATTTTTTTTTTTTGATAATTAAATAAGACGCTTTTATATAAAATAATTTGTAAGACCATTCAACTACTAGAAATTGACAAATTTAGGATCTCTTTGATACTTTTAGTGGACAAAGTATACATAAACAAGTCTCTAACCCTTTCGGCACTTTTGATGCTCAAAGGACTCTCATAAACAAGTGTTCAACTCCTTCAACACTTTTAGTGGTCGAAAAACTTTCATAAACAAGTCTTCGACCCCTTTAACACTCTCGGTGGCTGAAAAACTGCTGCAAGTAGGACATTGCATGAACCTAAAATCATCTGATAGGCCCTTCTAATTACAACATCTCATTCGACCGCCAAAACCAAATGACCACTTTCGGCCCCTTTGGGTAATCGATCCAATGATGTCGAACAAGATCAAGTGAGATACGAAACCCTATAACAAACTATCATAATAAAGGTAATTATGGTCTAATTACTAGTATGAAAGAAATTATTAATGTATTACCTAATTGGTAACCTTATGGTACAATCCATGAGAATTTGGGCCTATTATGGTCATTATGAATAATGTCACATCTCGAGATAAAATTATTGTTCATTATCCGCATTTAATATACTGAGATAGTATCTTACTTGAACGTCAGAGTGTCTTTTGTAGGTGCACCCCCCTCAGAACAATCAAACAATCAGAATTAGAGAGTGAAGAGACGTGAAAGCATTAGTGGGAAAGGAAGAAAGGTATCTCTGTGTAGGTACATTTTGACATCCACTGTGGAACCCTTTCTTGCATCAACATATACGTTTGAAAGTTCCCAAACAATAGAAAAGTTTGAGTTGAAGAATAGAGATGGTAAAAACACGAAAGAATATCAATTCTATTCCTTCACCTATGGATAAGAACCATGTTGAAGTAGAAGATCAGACAAATCTATTTGGGCATTAGTGTAGACACTTAATTTCGTCCGAGGATACCAAAACAAAGAAATGGACTTTCAGCATGAAGAAGAAGCTCCCAAAGGCCCGAAGATATCACCAGAGAAGGCTAACAAGACATCCAAGGATCCAAAAAGCAAGTACCAGAATTAGTAGCCTGGAACGGGTCATTCCCAAATCGAAATGGGTCGTTCCAAGCTTAAAATAAGGCTTGCAACCCTAGGTCAGAACGCCCCATTCTGACCTAGTCTGTTATGGGTAAAGTTCAAATCCAGAACGAGCTGTTTCGCTTTGGGAATGGGCCGTTCTAGATTCAAATTTTACACATAACAAAAAAGTCCATAACAGCCCATTCTGGTGGATTTTTGTGCCTATAAATAGTAGGCTCAAGCACAGTGCTCGAGGCCAAAAAGTTTAGTCTCGGAATAGTCCTTCCAAAATCCTATAACTCTTCTCTTTCTTTTGCTTGTATTTCTTGAGATTTGTGAGGCATTTTGAAGTATGAGAGGTAGACAAAAAGCACCTCAAGTTTATTACTTTGGAAGTATCTATAAAAACATCTTTTAAGAGGTAACATTCTTTACTACCTGTTTATTCTTTTTTAAATAAAAGCAATTATGTAGACATTCTCGGGTAAATCGTGTAAATATGTAGATAATTATTGATAAAAGGAGACTTAATATTTAAACTATTGTTCGTAATCATGTTAGTTTCATCATAGGGTACCGATTTAGGGCGTTGTAGGATACCTAACACGACGTCATAGGGTGCCTAACACATTTCCTACACGTAATCGACCCCCGAACCAAAATTCTGGTTATAAAGGTCATTTTGGTATTTTAAACTCTTTTTCTTTCTTTTTCAATTGTTTTAGGCGAAACATCGGTGGCGACTCCATGAACTCTTTTCAAAATCATTAGTTAGGGATTGGTCTGGTATTCAAGCATTCCCTAATTAATGAAAATTTCAAAATAGAAATCTAAACCATTTGTAGGTAAGATTGGAATTTTCTAGGTTTCGACAGATGGTGACTCCACTGGAAAAGTTTAAAGAGGGTCAGACCCAAAATAAATGATGAAACTGGCACAATAAGAATAATAGTTCAAATATTAGTTCCCTTCCTCATTGTTTGTTTTGTATGCATTTTTATTTTGATGGCTTTATAGCTGCATGTTTGAAATAAACAATTGTACACAAACCCTTGCACACAACAATTCCTTCTATACCTGAGGGCATGAGGGCATAAACATAGGGAGCGGTTAACGTACGTCTGGCCTAAGTATGGCCTTAGAGCTTGTGAGCCTTGTCAAAAATCACACTCAAGGTGATAACCGATCACTTTAGCTTGAAATATTGCGACAGACCTTAGAGTTTGCTAGGTGATGGTGACAGAGGTACTGAGTCCCTATAATGGGAGAACCTTGGGAGCCTTTAAAGACTAGTGAGGATAACTAGAACCTTCCTAGGCCAACACGTTCTTTGACAGGGACCAGAAACCATGGATTTGAACCAATCGTGGATGTGCATCGTTTGAGCATATGTTCGTTGCATTGTTTTTTATTAAACCATTGTTATATTTAGAAAGTTCCCCTAGTGTAAAGAAACACTCAAAAATAAAAAGAAGATAAAAATGCATCATCATGAGGAAAAACCCAATGTGAAAATAAAATCTGCGAGAAATATCACTATATAGTAAGAAAAAAGGGAAATCATCTAGGATCACTAGAAATCTCTAACAAAGACAAGCAAACTCTAGTTAGTGTGACCTTTGTCATATCATAAAACATTAAGAAAAGGGACACCGACGATTTCACATTCAAAGGAATGGTCATCAAGTATTTGCTAGAGACCTCCTCCATGCATTTTCATTCCTTGGCCTGATAACAATAATAATATAAAAAAAAAAACTTTCTCCTAGAAGCTGGCTTTCCGATACTCCGTGATTACAAGGGTTCAGAAATGAGGGGTTATGCAAGCTCTGGAAGAGAGGAATCATGCGCTTTCCAAGGAGCTCACACAACTCAAGCAGCAAATGGTTAGGATGTTTGAGGCCATGATCAAAATGCAGTGCGATAACGATTACACCAGAGGTTACCTGAGTACTCTAGAAGAGACGCTAAGGGCTATTAAGGGGCATTGCCTTAATAGAAAGGAAGGTATCGAGATGTGCTTAGTACAAGACATCCCATTCGTGTGCAAGACCATAAGACCCTCACCATTGGACATAGGCTAGCCAAAAAAGGTATATGAAAAGAAAAAAGGGGAAGGAATCAATGCTACAACTGCTCGCATTATTCCTCAAAGGACAAGATCAACGCCAAAGGTGCAAAAGGAAT